GTTATGGGCTTAGACATAAGTGCTGGTGACACCCATGTAATGCATGTTTGAGTGTTTAGAGGCCATTTGGTCTTGGACCATGATGTCACATGCCCTAAATAATTTTAACAGTTTTCAGCTTCACAGTCAGAATCTCTCATCATGTAACAGTTTTAAACATAGTAACCATAAATGCTGAAAATACAGAAAAGAATACTGAAATATTTTAAAAAGCTATCAGCCCAAGGCACACATTCTTGCTTGTGCTCACTTTTTTTTCCCCTTGAAAGAGTCACTTGCGCTCTCTGTTTGATTTGTCTAGGAGCATTTTCTTCCATAGAAGAGATCCCAGAAAATATTGTACACGACCATGAGAAGAATGGCCTTCCACGCTTGTCCTCCTTCAGTGACTCTGAAATTAAAAAACGGTAAGAGGTGGCTTCCCAGGGGTGTAGGAAGGGTTTGGAGTCAGTGGTGTTATGGGCAATCAAGAGTACAGCTGAAGTCTACAACTGGAATTGAGAACAGCAGGGTTTCTGCACCACCGCTTGTATTACGGCACTATTCTGTTATCCTCACAGATGTTGCCGTGCCTACCTGCCTCCTGGCTTTGAAGGAGAACACCAGTGTAGCTAGTGATACAGTTAGGTCAGACAACAAACTCCTCTGGATGTAGGGTTTCTGTAGTTGAGTGCATACCTAGTTCTTATGTAGCTGACCCCAGAAAAGAAGGTTTAGTTGGAAGGTCGACCCCAATGCCTTGTACCGTGAATCTTACTGCCTACACTTAAGATTGTCATTGCAGGCAGGTTTACTTACTGGGATTGAACTGGATAGGTTTAAAACATTAGTGCTGCTTAGCCTGAGGGTATTGTCCATTCAGTTGAACCACTTATCTTGCTGTTTATGTGCTTCTGGTTCTTCTCAGAGCAGAAAAAATACTTCCCTGCAGTAGAGCCTTTTAAATTACTTTGGCTAGATTTCTGCCTGTGTTTGTTCTCATCTCTACTAGAGCCTATATATAATCCCTGTAAGGGGTGGCAGCATGGAGAAAACAGGACATAAGATGACAGTGGACACTTCTAAGCTTGTGCTTGCTTAGGTTTTGTGTGTATTAAGCCATTCTGAAGAGTCAGCCCCTTACACATGTGGTGTTAGCTATGAGTAGAGCTCAGTCCAAGGTTTGTTGTATTCAGCGGTACAAATATGTTTATCACAGCTGTGCCTGTGGAAAGGGGTCACTTGATTGTGTTGATAGTGTGCAAGAGAAAGTACTGTCACCATGTTCTTGAGAATCTGGATCCATTCTCTCTCCCTGTGAACAGCCCTGCATAGAAGCTAACTGTTCACCCTGGGGGATGAGCCATAGCTAGGGTGTTTGAAGTTGAATGCCGTTATGATTCGGGTTTTTGCAGTCAGCCCACCACAGAAGTTGTGCTGGAGATGTATAACATGGGTTTCGTTAGGAACTCTGAAATAAATTGTCAGAGAGTTTAGGTGTAGAGAGAGGAATGGTGTGGATCTGTTGATCTAGTTTGCTGACCTGTAGCCCTGCTTGGTTAAGAGTAAGTCAGGAGAACCTGAAGACTGATCCAAGTGCATATTGAGGTTGGAAAGAGTCCATCCACTTATTTCAGTGAGGATTGGGCTCTAAATCTCCTTTCTCAGTTATTTACTGAAATAAGCTTTGTTTGTGATTTACTCCTGCTACAGATAATCAGAGAATGGTTAGGGTTGGAAGGGACCTTAAAGATTGTCTAGTTCCAACCCCCCTGCCATGGGGGAGGGGGGTTGATTTCAATCATAATCATTGACTACAGAATATTACAGTTCAGTAGTATCACAACAAAATGTGAAATTCTGTTGAAAACTGTGGTCTCATGAAAATTATATTCTTGGCCATTATTGAAAGCATGACAAAACACCAATACCAGATTTATTTTTTTTGCTTAAGCAGTGAAAAGCGCAGCCCTCTGTATGCATATAATTGCACCAAGCCGCTTTTTCCATGTCTTTATGTATTTTGCTTCTTGAGCTTAATCACATGGCATTAAAAATATCTTTGGCTTGGAGCTTTCAGCATCTTTTCACCATCTTTCATTTCCTGTTTATATGGATTGAGATAAACTAAGGTCCTCCAGTTTGAATAAAATGTGAAAACTGGGATGAACAATTTCCACTTTGTACTGTATACAAAAACTGTTAGTAAAAAGACAGAAATTGTATTTCTAGTCCTATTGATTATAATATTGATAGACTATGCAAGTGGTGTAAGATTCATATTGCTGTGTCTGTGGTCTGAGTTTACATACATTTTGTAAGTCTTTGCTAAACACACTTTCAAAAATTTGCTAAACACTTTGCTTATTTATTTTTTTTTCCTTCCTCTGTTTAGACTGAATTTATACTTCAAGTTTTTTATTGTTAGAGATCCATTTGAAAGACTTATTTCTGCATTTAAAGACAAGTTTGTGAACAATCCTCGGTTTGAACCTTGGTACCGGCATGAAATTGCTCCTGGCATTATTCGTAAATACAGAAAGAATCGCACAGAGACCAAAGGACTGCAGTTCGAGGATTTTGTGCGCTATCTGGGTGACCCTAATCACCGATGGCTGGATGTTCAGTTTGGTGACCACATCATTCATTGGGTAACATATGTGGAACTCTGCGCCCCCTGTGAAATCACATATAGTGTGATTGGACACCATGAAACCCTGGAGGACGATGCTCCGTATATCTTGAAAGCAGCTGGCATAGACCATCTGGTATCATACCCCACAATTCCACCAGGCATAACAGTGTACAACAAAACAAAAGTAGAGCGGTATTTTTCGGGAATTAGCAAGAGAGACATAAGACGCCTCTATGCACGGTTTGAAGGAGATTTTAAACTGTTTGGTTATCGGGAGCCAGACTTCTTGCTTAACTGACACCTAGGATAAGGTCTGAAGAAGTGTCTCATGGCTTGATCTAAACCTGCGTGAATACCACCTGCAACACTGACAGAGCTGAGAATGACCATTTGTTTTCTATCTTTTTGATGTTGCTCCATTTTTCAGTGAAGTATTTGTCACATGAACAAGTAGGGGCTTCTAGTTGTTGTTTTCTGACCATGTTTTCAATATGTGACATTGCAATTGAAGTCTCTGTTATCTGAAATACAGAATTCTGCTTCTCCCCTCTTCCCTCCTGGAAAAAAGAGAGTGAACGAATGGGCTATGGTCTTCCCCTCCTTCTCCCAGACAGAATGCCGTTTTTAAAGTGTTGTGAAGTATTTATAAAGATGGCAGTTTCACTGTAGGTTAACTCTGACATGTGGGTGAACTTGATGATTCATGCTCATGAGAAAGGCATATAGTCTCCCATGAGCTTTGAAAATGAGAGGCCAGTACAGGACTAAAAATTGATTATATGCTTGACAAAATCATCTAGGTTCTGTCATGTGGCTGCTATAATAACAGTAATACTGATCTAATTCCATTCTTGTTTGTCACAAAATGAACCTAAAAGACAGAAGCTTTAGAAGTGTTAAAAAAGGGACTGGTTTCAGAGCCCAGTGATCTTTGTATTTTTGTCAAGTGTTTACTGTACTTACTACTGATCTATTGAGCCTCATAATTATGCTTTTGATTTTCAAGATATTACTTAACTCCCAGCTGTGTAAGTTTTCTGAGAATATCAGATGCAAATGGAGCATAGAAGAAATGTGAAACTGCTAGGGAAACTTCAAGGAAAATTAATTTAAAATAAAGTATTAATTGTATTTGTGGGAGCACATGTAGAATCATGAGATGCTCTCATAGAATTTAACTTGTTTTGTCTTCTAACAGTTAAGATTAATAAAGAAGCCACAAAAGCAGGATGTCATATAAAAGAGCTGCTAGAGTCACTTAGATTAATGATGTACCTTTTTCTTATGTCCAGTCTTGCTCCATGTTCAGTACCTCAGAGAACAGAAAATTTACCTCCCTCTGAAAATTCATCTCCCTACTGCTAAAGGAGACAGGATGAATCCCTGATTTTTGAAGTGATTCACTGCCATGATGTCCTGACTCAAAAATGCCCAACATTTGTGTTACCAATGGGGTGAGTCAGCAACTTGCCATGAGTTTGAATGTCACTTAAATATGTCCACCCATTTCATGTGTTAAAAAAAAAGAAAAGCAGAACTGAATTGATGCAGCTATCATATTTGCCTGTGCTTGCATTGTGTCTCATAAAGAGCAGTCTCTTGCTTGAGTTCACCAGCAAGAAAAATCAGTGTGCTGCCACCTCATACTGCAGGTAATGGGGGAGAGAGACCACCTATCTGAAATACAGGAGTTGCTCTGTCACAGTGAGCATGTGAACTGTATTTTTTAAACTTTAGTCCTGAAAGATTAATTTTCAGGTCAGCATAATGTTGCTGGCTAGAAATGCTAATAATGGCCAGTGCTGTGGAATCTGTTCTTAAATCCAGACACAGTATGTTTTTTTTATAGCTTCCTGTATCAACACAAGGAAGCATCTTGCACTTGTGAAAAAGGAAAGCTATGCCAAGCTGACATGTGCTGCTATCCACAAAAAGGAAGCCCTGCTGTAGCTGGAAATGGTTTCAGAAAGATCTCAACAGACTAATTGAAATAAGGGAGAATCATTAACTGGGCATCGTTAGCAAGAGAATAGTCCAAGGTGGCAAAGCTGGAAGGTGGGATTGTTGGTTTGTGTTTTTTTTTTTTTTTTATTATTTTAAAACCCAACAATTACAGTACTCTAACTTGTTAGTTCTTAACCAATGATAAAAAGATGTTAATGGCTAAAGGTTTTTCTGTTGTTTTCTTAATATGGGAACTTAGCAAAATGTACTGTTAAACACATTTTGAAGCTATTGAGCTGATTGATTACCTCTCTGCCGATTTAAAAATGTAACAGTGAATAATGTATAGTGAATTCAGGCCTTAAAGTTTAATTCTAATAAAGATAAAGTAGAATTGTTTTCCTCTGAAAGCATAAGCTACTGATCACACAGAATGCCAATGTATATTTTTATTTTTCTTGGTAAATTACTTACTGTATTGATTTCTTAAAGGTTGCCAGGTGGAAAGTGCTATGTAAATATTAAGTAATATTTTTTTTCTAATAGCTTTCTTTGCATTGATTTCTCTCAGGCATCTGACAGCAAATGTAGACAGAGCTATGGGCTGACATAGGCAGAGGTGTGTACTGCTCTCCCAGCTCTGTGATCCCACGCTTTTCAGGCTGGGACTGGAATACTCGTTACCATTTATTCAATTCAAACACAAAGTTTCTCCTTTCAATGATACCCTCCTGAGATATGTTTTCTTTCTAGAGGAGTGGTTTTTTTTCTCGCGTGGCTGAAGTAATGATGGCGTGATTTTGGCATGACTCTTGCAGAAACTTGGATAACATGAAAGCCCTTGGTGAGGTGTGGTGGAGTTCTTATTATTTAGGTCTGGTGCAGGTAGGGTGGCCAGAGCATACTGTATGGGGGAGGAGGCTCCATATGCTGTGCTAATTCTATGATTAATTAAATGTTTGTATTTTGTTCTAACTTAATTGTACTCTATACAAGGCTTTTACAAATTTAGTCCTAGTGGCATGCATGAACATCATTTTTCTGTTAGGTCGTCATTTGCACACCACTTTCAAACCGCATATTTATGTTGTGTTTTGGGAACTGCTGTCCCAAACTGTTACTTCTCTTTTCTTGCTGTTACAGCTTCAGAAAACAAAATTGCATCCTTACTTTGTGCATATCTCTTTCTTTTTTGTTGTCTCTCCTCTGCAGGTTTTGAATCCTTTTTCCCATTTTAACCACATTTTACAGAGGAAAGTTGATGTTTTAGGCAGAGTGAGTTGCAGTAATCTTCCCAAAAATAGGAGAGGAGAGAACCATTCTTTGTACATCAGAGAGTCCATGCTGTATGTTAGCTTTAGGGAAAGTACAGACAGGAAAGGAGCTTTAATGCTTCTGCTCATCATGGAGCCACTTATTTCTCACAGGCTCCCTTCCCTAGTGCTCCAAGTCTTCCCACTGATCTCGGTTAACAAAGATAGAAATAATGAATTGAAAGGTATTCCATGGGTCTGTTATCTTCATGTTCCATATAAAATTAAGGACACTTCTAGAGATCAGCTGACTGGGGGGTTTTCTGGGGTCTTGGAGTGGTTTTTATCTTTCTTGTGGTGAAGATGGATCCAGAATTCACTTGCTTGTGAACCGCCGTTAAGGGCGGTGCCTGTCCGATCTTTTAACTTCAGCACATAGTGCATGATCACCGGTGTGCTTTCTGATCACGTGCTATGAAATTTTTCTGTAGTTAAAAATAAATGTGCAGACTTTTTTATTTTGGGAACTGTTCCTTCAAAGAAGTAGCAATTTGAAAATGTCCTGAAAACACATATTTTTTCACAGATAAGCATGTTGTTTTCCTATTCACGCTCAGACACTGCACTGTTTGTACTGAGGGTAACAGCCACCTGCTGCTAACGCTTGTCTCTGTCCTCAGATCAAGAAAGCCATCAGACAGCTCTGACTGTTCTGTAACATCACTTTTTCCTTGAGGTGTTAATAGCTTTGTTGGCTGGGAAAGCCACGTTTGATCTTATCTGTGCTCCAGAAAGTTTGCTGAGAAGAGAGTGGTTATATAGGAATTGCTTAAGCTTATTTTCTCAGATTAAAAAAGGAAATACTGTCAGTGTGTCTGCCTGTATGTGATATCCCTTAATTGACAGAGAGAGGGTGAATGATCTTTCTGCTTAATGGCCTTGTTGTGATTCACAGTAAGCCCCCACCTCATTATCAGAGTAACGTGAAGGGACCTGGATAGGAAGGAGGTGTAAATTCAATGTGTGCTTGTTTTAAATGTGAAGGTATAAAGGAAGGTTGACACAAGAGTTGGGCCCTGAAGATTTATCGTGGCTAATCACTTGCTACATGTCTTCTGCAGAGGCTGGTGTAGTTTCTTTGTGGCCTGTGCTTGAAAAGATTTATGCTAGGTAGAAAGAGGCTTGTGGGTGGTGGAAAATTCCCTTACAGCCTAAGTTAGCTGTGCGTGTTCCTGGGCCGCTGCTGTGGGGAAGGTTTAGAAGGAAATGATCCTATTAGCAGCAGAGCTTGGAGGGCTCAGGCTGTGAGCGGAGTGCCTCCCTCCTGGAGGAGGAGTGAGTTTGGCTCATGCTGATGTGTGCGGATGACTTTGGTGCTGCCATGTATAAATCTCTATTTTTGTGTTTTTAATGCAATTGTGTGCAGCTGAGCTGTCATCTTGCTTTCCTGTGTGTGGCAGTAGCCTGAGGTGCCTCATCCCATCACCACCAGAGCAGCTTTGAAAGGCCTGCAGCCTGTTTTGCTATGCAGTAGGAGACATTTCCCTGATGAAGCGAGTAGCATTACGCCTGCAGCCATGCACCTGGTAGCAACAGGCTGGTGTCAGCACGGAAATGGGGCTGTTCAGGGTTAGCTACTGTAAAATCACCATTTTCCCTTTTAATCCAGGCAGGAGTGAAAGGGAAAAAAGATGTGTGTTTGCTTTGAGTCATAAAAAGGAACTCTGCTGATAGAAATTCCAGACTGGTAAACCCAGGCAAAGCAGTGTCTGGGACAGAAGGATGAAAAAAGTCGTGGAGAGTTGCTTTAAAGCACCCCAGAGCTGCTGGAGGATTCCATGTTGAAGAAAAGTTACTGAAGCTTTATGGGAGGTGTTAGAGGAGCAAGCATGTTCCTCCGTATGGTGTGTGTGCATGCCAGAGGAGCAGCTGCCGATGGGACAGCATGCACATGGCAGGCTGAAAGCATGAAGCATCTGCTGTGGGTGTCTGTTTGAAATCACAGAAAGGAAAAACAAGTGGAAAGAAGTAATAAATAATCCTAAAGGTTGCCCATCTGGAAATGCAATACCCACCTAACTGCCAGGAATACAGTGACCACCCTGGATGTATACAAGTCATTTCTGAGCAGTTTGTGGGACAAAAGCAAACCTGCAAATAGGAGGGTAAACGTGGACCATAAGGCATCTGTACACGCTCCAGAAAGTGATTTAACACAGAACCTAGCCAAGGCTTTCAATCGTGCCTAAGTAAATGGATCTCATCTAGGAAAAATGTATAGCTATGCTGGAAGCATACAAGGAGAAGAAAAAGTTCTTGTGGAATAACTATCTCTTTCAACAACTGCGTGTTACACGCCTACTGTGATTTTAGAAGTAGGAACACTTAGTCTCTGTAGATCTTTTTTCCCTCTTGTGTACAGCCTTTCTGTTTTATTCAGTTTTCTTTCCCATGTCCCGAGAGGTCTTTGGATGATACACTACACTATGACCCATCATTGTTCTCTTGTCAGAAGGGCAGAAGAGGCTGTAGGAAATACAAAATGTGCTCCATAATTTTGAGGAACACAAAGAAAATTCAGAGAGTTGATATCAACCACAAATGACTTGTCGTGACTGTGAAACATTAAGATTGCATGAGCTTCTTCTTAAATGTTTCATGTGTTGGTCAGGAATTCACTTGTGGAAGAATTACTGCTATCCTCTTCTGTATTTGGCATCTTTGTTCTGTGTTTTGGATGGCTTCCAGTAGGGTTTTACAGCAAGTAAAAACTGGAGTCTGCCATACCTCCAAGCTTCGCTTTGGATCCACCTATTTTACTCTCATTCTACTTTAGGCATTTTGTAGAGTAAGAGTCGATTCTTTGCACTTACTCAGTTTCCTCGGTTTCTGGCTGTCCTTTGCAGTGCTGTACCATTTGTAGTTGTGAAAAGGCAGCGAGCAAGAAGACTCAGCAAACACTCTGGAGAGAACAGGACTCCAAAGTGGACCTTTGTATGCCTCTATCCACTTCAGAAGCTTCTTTCATCTCCCAGCATCTG